ACTTCATAATGAAGTTATTTTTATAAATGGTTAGAACATGATCCGGGCATATTATAAGCCTGAGCATCGAGTTTTATGGATGCACGTTGATCGAAAGTGTTCTGCATAATTAGTCTATTGACCTGCTGGCCTTCCTAATCATCTGTTAGAAGAGGTTGATTGAAATACTTATTAATTGTCAGTTAGCAGGACTGTCATATGAACTGTGCCTGTAATTTGGGCTGTGGTAGTACCTGCAAGTCACAACCATGGGCTGGCACGTGTACAAATCCATATTGAGAGAGATCCTGCTGCAGAGTCTGTTGCCTAAATAAACCGGGCTGAGCAAGGGTGTCACTGCCATGATGACGGGGAAGACTGTGGGTGCTTGAGTCGGAGTAGACAGAGGTGCCCCATGCCCTGTCCTGGAACAGAAGCAAACTCTAGGGAGGGCCAGGGGTTCAGACACAGCAGCCCTGTGCTCAGCACTTCCTACTGGGTGCATCTTTTTCCCTGGAGGTGCCTGACTTTCCTTATTAACCATTTAGAGGCTCTAATCCTTGGTTACCCTTCTGAGGCCTTCGTTTTAAGTATGTGGACGCCCCTAAAAGGCACTTTAAGGGCCAATGTGCATAATGCCCTAAGTGATCTGCTCAGGGTGCCACAAGAACTGTGTGTCAAGGCTGACCCCAGCACAGTGCCTTACCAACAAGCCCACCCTTTCTGCCCTTGGACCTATCCTCCTTCTAGAAAGGACCTAAGATATGCGTGATATGGGGAAAAATAGGTAGGCAAGGTTCTTTGAGTAGATGTGAAATCTTTTATTAGACCAACCGAGTAGTTGGGAAAATGTTCTTGGCAAACTTTTGGGTGCTGTCAGCCTTCTTCAGGCATAGGAAGCCTCGGTTGTTCTGAGACTCCAAGAAAACTATGGGGAAAATTATGCATTTATTCATGGCTGTGGGCTCCCACGTTGCCTTTGAAGCCAGCTGAACTGGTTCGCATCTACCATGCTGAGCCTGCCCATGCCTGGCACACCTGAGTTAGCCCAGCCCATGCTGCCTCCATGATACTGTGCAGGATGTTGCCCACGTGCTGTTGGCTGCTTGGTGTTTTGTGCAGCATTTCCTGGTGGTCTTCTCAAGGTGGACATAGCTGACCAGAGGAGAGGGGGAATGGAGGTCCTCAACTGAGGGAGCTAGCTGTGTCTGAGGGGAGGCTTATCCCAGGATACAGTCACAGGAAATAGTACGATACCTAGGTGGTAGTCTGAAATAGGACAAGGATTGTGTCAGTTCTGTGCCACCACGCTCTGTTGTCAAAGCATTGGATCCCTTTTTCTTTTCTTTTTTACTATTTGTTCTTCCCTGTAATAAACCCTTTTGTTTTCTGTTCCTTTATTGAAGTGCCTGAGATAAATAGTGATTTCTGGGCAAATTAATAACCTGTGCATATTCATTCAGCAGAGCTGGGGGGGCGGGGACCAATGAGTTTACACAAACCTAGGGTGTAGCTCTGGGAGTACCCTTGCCCCCCAGGTTTTATCACAGAGCTGAAGACCATTTGGTTGGGTGCATGTGTGTGTGTGTGTGGGTGTGTATGCAGTCAGTACACAGACAGGGTGTCCTTGGGTGTCTCTTATGCAGAACCTCTACTTCTCCCCAACTTTTCCATGCAAACGGGTTTAAATTACTATTCCATGCTGATGCATTGTAATATTCTCTTCTCATGTTAAGTTGGAGAGTCCTGGCCTAGATTAAACTATGGATAGATATCTGGCTGGGGTATTATGATCCCAACACTCGTTCCTGCCCAGGGCAGGGGGTCAGACTTGATGATCTGCTCAGGTCCCTTCTGACCGTAGGGACCATGTCTATGAAACTATCAGGCTACAGTGAGGTGGGTTGGGAACTGGCTCAGCAGCTGATCCCAACGAGTCATAATTGATGGGGTGGCCTCATCCTGGAAGGCCATCTCCAGTGGTGTACCCCAGGGGTCAGTGCTTGGGCCCATGCTCTTTAACATCTTTACTAATGACCTGGATGAGGGAGTGAAAAGTGCAATGATTAAGTATACAGATGATACCAAGCTATGGGGACAAGCGGGCACATCAGAGGGCAGGTTAAGTTTTCAGGAAGACCTTGATAGGCTGGTACTATGGCCTGAACAAAACCATATGAGGTTCAACAGGGACAAATGCCGGGTGCTTCATCTGGGAAGGAAGACCCCTCACCATATCTATTCGATGGGTGGTGGTCCACTGGCTGGCACTGCATCTGAAAGGGACCTAGGAGTGTCAATTGACCAGAGGATGAATATGAATCACCAGTGTGACGAAGTCGCCAACAGGGCAAATAGAGCAGATGCAGATGTGTCATCACAGATCCAGAGAGGTGCTCCTCCCACTCTATTCGGCATTGGTGAGGCCACAGCTGGAGTACTATGTCCAGTCCTGGGCACCGCACTTCAAGAAGGATGTGGACAAGCTCAAAAGGGTGCAGAGAAGGGTCAGCTACATGATCAAGGGCCTGGCGGACAGGCCGTATGAGGAGAGACTGCGGGATCTGGGTTTGTTCAGCCTGAGCAAAAGAAAGCTGAGAGGCAACTTCATAGATGCCTACAACTATGTCAAGGGAGAACACCAGGATTTAGGAGACCAACTTTTCAAAAAAGCCCCCCCTGGCAAGACACAGACCAATGGACACAAGCTAGTTGAGGAAAAGTTGGCTGGACATAAGGAAAAACTTCTTTTCTGTACGGGTCACTAGAATCTGGAACACACTTCCAGCGGAGGTGGTGCAGTCACCATCTCTGGTGGTCTTTAAGAGGGGGCTGGACAAATACCTCGCTGAGCTCATTTGGGCCCAATTACCTCCTGCCCATGGCAGGGGACTGGACTTGATGATCTAACAGGTCCCTTCTGGTCCTTCTTTCTATGAGTCTATGAGTCTATAAACGGCCAGCCCTTGGGGCCTCGTTTTCGGGGGAACTACGTATGGGTGATACTTGACTGAGTAATTCTTGATCTTCATCTGACATTACTGATTTCTCATCTAAAGGTCATCACCAATGGGCAGATAGGACATTTCAGGAGAGAATTGATACAAGAGTCCACTCCAAAATGCAATGCACCAAAAGTCAGTCTTAAGTTACCTTGGTTTGGACCAGAGTTTTTGCTTTGAAGCTGGTTGGAAAGGGGGAGAATGATGTTGTGATGTGATGCATTTCTTGTGAAAAATCCCAAGCCTCTGAATCCACTTCCATTTCACACAAACTGACTTTTTTTTCGCTTTTGCCTTTTTTTTTTTTTTTTTTTGGTAAAATTGAACGCCCTGTTTTCATGCCAATTATTTTCAAAAGTTTTGCTTTGCAGTAAGAAATGTGACTGCCAGTAAAATGAAACACTCCTAGAATAACAGCTCCCAAAAAGAAATAGGGTAAGTATTTCAGATTTGGTGAGAAGTATTGCAGAATGCTTTGTGAAAACGGATTATTGCCATATCATTGAACATTTTTCCTTTAAAAAAAAAAAAAAGGTTTCTGAGAAAAGTTGTTTGTGAGTGAAAAGCTTTTCATGCCTATCACTCTAACTGCTCCTATGGGGTGCTTATCTCTGTTGTTGATGCATTAATCACTCTTATTGAAGAGTCTTGGATGAATTGTGCAGGTCAGGAATAATCAAGTTCCCCCTGGTCTCGTTGCCTACAAGTCTGGAACATTGCCAGCCTAATTGCTTCTGCGGCTGATCAGCGGAGGGGTCAAACTAAAGCAGCGCCAGAGCATTCATTGTGAAATAAAATGATCCAAGTGACAAGGGGAATTAAAATCCCTTAAGAGCATCCTGAGAGGATGAGCTTCACCCTATGTTGTGCAGCACGTCAGCAAAGAGGGAATTAACTCTGTGTGTGTCTGAGACGGAAGTCCAAGCATGAGCGTGTCAGATGGGAGAGGCAGATCAATGGGAGATAATCTCCTGCCATGCGTGCTTATGAGGAAATTCAGAATATTTCATGTTGTCTTTAATGCTGATGCTGTGGCTCCTGGGATTTGTCATTTGGTTTTTCCTGCCTTTGCAATGGCCTGGGTTTCCTGGTTGAACTACATCTCCCATGAAGCAATGCAGTTCTCTCACTCCCAGAATGCATCACCTGTCTTGGTTGGAGGGGCAATCCTTGTGTCTTATGGAATGGGTATCTGACCAGGGCTCATAGGAGAGAAGGAGCTATGAAGCCCCTAAACCACCACGTCCTGCAGTATGGATGTGTAGCTTATTGCTGAATTAACCTGAAGCAAGATATTTGGGGGTTCAGTTCAACTAAGGGAGCCAGAAACTGCCGGCATCCACAAGGTCCATCATCTTATCTAAGCTAATTGCTTCAGATAAAGTAAGGGAAGACCTTATCAGAGGCACATCGCAGGGTATCTGCTACTCCTGAAGGCCTCATCTTAATGATTAAAGACTTATTTCTGCACCATGAGTTTGGACATCCCTTCCAAAACAAACCATTTCTTTTAGCATGACCTACTACTACTCTGCAATCATGTTTCTAGGGTTTCAGCTTTTCTCCAGTGTGACCTCAGCGGTGTGTAACTGGGGTTAAAATTTGTCCTGGGAAAGTGGAAAGATGGGGCTTGCCCCCTCCTGCCCTGCAGAAGGAAGGTTCAGGTCCTGCAACTCTATGAGAGGTGGTAAAACATGAGTGAAAACAAGCCATCCAGGCACTGGATGCATGGCTGTGGCAAGCTAATTACTGGGTGAAGGCATGTTAATTAGATAAGAAGGTATGATCTGGGCAAAGCATGTGAGTCAAATGATTTCTTTTTGGTGGATTTCGCAACTGTTCCCGATAGTGCATGGTGTTTACCCTGGAAAGCTGGCAAGAAAGCCATTAATTGCTGCAAATGAACACAACCTACTCGTTCTGCTAATAAACCTGCTGATTGCCATGCAAGCCAGCCTAGCTTGGCATGCAGGTATAAAGGAGAACTTCCGGCTTGCAGATCAGAGGAGCCAAGCCTCCTTCCCTCTCAGTCCTCCTCCTGCAACTCAGCCGCCACCAGCTCTTTTTCCCCCTCTGAAGTCCTGCAAGACGCCACCATGAGCCAGTTGTCCCCAAGCTGCAAATCAGGGGATGGGGGAAAGGACTTCAGTTCATGTTCTGCCCACTGCGGCAGCGTCGGGGTCGGGAGCAGCTCATCCTCCATCTGCCAGTCGGGGGAGAGTAGAGGTGGAAGAGGGTACTTTGGTTATGGATATGGTAGCAAAAGTCTCCATAACCTAGGCGGGACCAGGAGAATTTCTGTCTGCGATGGCTACCAAGGAGGAGGAAGAGGATACGGGGTTTGTTGGGAGAGATATGGTGGTTGGGGTTATGGCAGAGGAGGATTTGGTGGTGGAAATTTCGGTGGAGGGGGAGCAAGGTTTGGGGGCATCTGCAGAGGAGGTCTCGTTGGAGGTGGCCTCGGAGGAGGAGACATCGGCCGAAGCTGGGGCATCCAAGGAGTCCACGTCAATGGAAACCTGCTACGCCCAGTGCACATGGAGATCGACCCGGACTTCCAGAGAGTGCGGGCACACGAGAAGGAGCAGATTAAGTCCCTCAATGACAAATTTGCCTGTTTCATCGATAAGGTGAGACGCCGACCTCCAATCCAAAAGGGGAACAGCGGTCTACTTGGGTTGGGGTGGAGGTGGGGCAGGGCTGGCATGAATAGTCCTGATTTAAATTCAAATCGCCGGTATCCCTTTAGTCCCACTTGCATTCACAGGCGTTGTGATCCTTTAGGCCCATAGAAACATCTCAACTGCATCCGTAGAATTGATGCTGGATAAGCCTTTTCATCGGCCCATTTGTGGAGGAGCTGGTGTGACACATGGATGGTGTTTCTAAACAGAGCAGTTTCCCAGTGCTCAGGGGCCCTGAGGTTGCTTTAGACAGGGGGAAAAAAAAATGATGGGTGGTAAAGGACTCCAGGACCTTTTGTGCCACTCTGCTTGCTTACAAGGAACGTGCAATGTCCTGTCTTCCTGAACGCAGAGAAGATCAACAGACAAGAGATCATTTTTTTGCTCTCAGCCCCAAGCCTCTTTCAGAAAGCATTGACCCCCCAGCTCTCTTTCTTAGCATTTCTTTTCCCGACAAGGCCCTGCCGCTACTGTTTCTATTGCTGTGTTTGGTGCCTCTTTCCATTCTCTGCTCTTTCTGCTCCCCGACAAACAAACCTTTGCAGAACAACAGCCGGTAAAACGCCTCTATCATCCACCTGATGTGTGCCTTTGTTTTGGGTGGTGGCAGGTGTCTGTGCTTGGGAGTGGAAGTTATTATCATTTCAGTCACCTGTTTGCTGACAGAGGCTAGTTGCATTTAATTAACTTAAGTGCGGGTTGGTGGTTGCAGCCCAGTTTCAGCCAGGTTGAGCCCAGGCTGAGTGATGCCATTGCAATACAGCTCTTTGGATGTCAGTTGAGTTGCATCGGCACCACCGGTTGAGGATCTTCTGCAAAAGGGCTGCAACTCAATTCCTACTGCCTGCAGTTCAGTTCAGGGGAAAAGAGCCGTCTGCTTTTCTAAACCAGCAATTTTGTGCTCTGGATTAGCACTGACTGGCTGTGACTTTTCCACCCTAAGTCGTCACATTTCCATGGGGGTGAAGGGGGAAGATCCCAATCGGATCTTATGAATATCGGGGGTATATTGTTACTGGGGTCCCTGGACATTCATAGCTTCCAATTTCCCCTAGGTCACTGTAGTCTTTCCTTGTGAAAACGTCAAATTTAAAGTTCCCACCCTCAATTTCTTCCCTTGTCATGGTGTGTGTGGGGTGGGGAGGCATCAAAGGAGGTCATTAGAATAATTAGGATTATTAGCATAATCATGGCTGACAAGCTGCCATCATAAGGCTCCTGATCGGCTATGAGTGGTGTGTGGTCTACTACTTTTTTTAACCCGTCTTCTTGTTTGAGTCACCCACCATATAAGTGTTGACTAGATTGAGAAGGGCAGGAACTGTGTGAAATCGGGTGTTTAAAACGCACCTTGTGTAACAGGGTCCAAACCTGTTTGACCTCTAGGCGCTACTGTTGTAAAAACATTTATTCTCATCATCACCAACACCATCATCATCATCATTGTCATTGCCATTATTATTATGGCGATGCTAGTGCTGGCAATGATCTCCCACGTTCTGCTCCATAGTTGACTTGCTCTTTCCCGTTGGCTTCCAGGTGCGATGCCTCGAGCAGGAGAACCAAGTGCTCCTGACCAAGTGGGAGCTCCTGCAACAGCAGGGGGGACAAACAGGTGTCCACCGAGATATCGAGCCCTTTTTCCAGTCTTATATTTGTCACCTGCGGCGGCAGAGAGATACCCTGCAGAGCCAGAAGGAGGAGCTGAATTTGGAAGACTGCAAGATGCTGCAGATCGTGAATGAATACAAGGCGAGGTGAATGATCAGTCAACTCGGAGTAATGGGTAGTTGCAGAGGCTTGGATTTGCCCAAGGCACCTAGGTATCCAGATCTAAAGGGTAAAGGGTGTCTAATTCACTTAGGCTCTTCTGGCAATCTCAGCCCTAATAGGAGAGATAATTAGGGATAAGCATGTGATTAAAGGCAAGGAGCTTCTATAGGGCTCACAACAGCGACATGCAAGCCCTTCACCATCATGAATGGACTGTGACCTCACAACACTCCTGGGTGGGAGGGAAGTGCTATGACCCATTTTATAGAGGGGGAAACTGAGGCACAGGTAAGCTAAGCAGCTTTGCTCCAGACACCTTTGAAAGTCCCAAACCAAAGTATTAGTGTGTGAGCCCCTGATCCTTAGTGGACATCCTCTTAGCGTCGTAGCGTGCACCATCCGAGTGGTTTTGCAACATGCATGAATGGGAGGATGAATGAAATGCCAGTGAAAGCCTGGCACCGTGGCTTGTTTGCATGACTCCTCTTGCTTGCTATGCTGCTCCATTTAAAGGAGGCAATGAGCCGCCCATCTCTCTTTTCTGTTGCAATAGTTACGAAAAGGAAATCGACAGGCGCCTGTGCACAGAGGAGGAGTTCGTGAACCTCAAGAAGGTGAGTAATCCGGGCTGCCAAAGCACTTGGAGGAGCCAGAAAGCAAAGTAGTGGATGGATCTTAGCCAGGGCTTGCAAAACACCCAGTCTCTAAAATTCACATGTGGTCACCAAAATGTACGTGCGGGGTATATGCGTATCGTCCCCACAGCCGGCCCAAGACTGGCATGGGTAAACCAGCCAGTCCCACCACTCTCTCCTGCTCCAGACCTGCTATGGGCATTTATAGACATACTTTTTCACACTGCAACGCGCTGGAGATCTGACGTGTCAGAGCAGACTTGATTAACCGAGTCCGCTCCACACGCGAGATGACGTGCATGGCGCTGCGTTGTGTGCAGTTGTAGAAGTGGCGAGGCGCGCAGAAAATGGCGGCGGTGGGCTTTTGAACTAAAACACCTTCCATGCGTGTTCGTTCGCAAGTGCGCCGCTGCCGTTTTCTCAGCGCTGGCGCCCATTTTGCTGTTTGTACCAATGCATGCGCTGCAGTGCTGGGTGCTTTTAAAAGGGCCTGGTGCTGCAGCGCAAACATAGGTACAAATGCCCTGTGTCCTGAGATCGATTTAGTTGACTCTAGTAGGGCTAAAACCTGCCATTTTCCACCCCCCTATTTATTATTGTAGCAATTCCTGGGTGCATCTACATGAGACCTTTACTGTGGAGCTGCCTAATTAGCTCCACAGTAAAGTCTCAGCATCTACATGTGTGGCCCTATTAGACTGCAGTAAACTAATTAACTTTGTCATAGGTTACTCCTTGTAAACACAAGTACTATCCTATGGTGACGTTCTTTAGTGCACGACAGCACACGTGTAGATGCTGGCAGGGCTGGCTGGGGCTGGCAGGGCTGGCTGGGGCACGAGGGTGCTTGAGTGTGCTGGCTAGCCCCGTGCTGGAGCACCCTCGTGCCCCAGCCAGCCCCTCTGCAGCATATTGAACCAGGGCTGGCAGGCTGACCCCCCCACCCCGCC